AGCGAGAAAATTCCATTATCCCCTCTGGCCAATGGAAATAAATATTTCCAACACTTTGAAACATTATTACACGGTGTTACAGTATATTTCAGAGGATACGAGAAACCTCGGTTAATCCTGTGACTTCATAAATGTACCAGTTTCCAGTGAAACCTAACCTAGAAATATTCCAATATCCATTCGCCAGTTAATGAATGAAATATCGAAATGATGAAAATTCTGAATGTCTCCAAGCATTTTAAACGACATTCTGAAATATCGTTACACGGAATTACTGTGCAGTTTAGAGGATACAATTGAATTCCAAAAGTCAGAGAATTTGCGGGGAAATATCATTTCAAATCAGTGACTAATAAGCATCTGGAAAATGAATGGCAAGAGTGAAACGTGTTTTGCAAGCAAGATGTTGATCGTCGATCATTCATTAACAGATACCAAATAATCAGCAAAGTAGAATTATAGAGACTACGTTGCACATCTCCTGTGCAAACCTAACCTATGGAAAAAAAAAAATGAAAAGGTTAAGCCGTAAGTTATCGTGGTAATTATAGTGATATCTGTTTTGCCGACGGCGGCGACATTGAAAGTATTTCCTCGTCGATCAACTGAACGAGTCCTCGCAGGATGCAACTAGAGGATTATATGTAATATCTTGTATTGATTACATGATACACTGATACGGAATTGACGTAATGATTTTACTCGGTTATTTTCTTTATCGTTTCTTGTTTGTGTCAGATGTTTCATTAAGTTTCCAGTGAAACTTGTTCGGCTGAATGAAAATTGAGTGCATGTATCAGTGCGCTTGTAGAATATGAATTTGGATCGATCGATTGTTAATTTAATTGTTAATTCAGCGACGCTTCGTTGAAACATTTATCAGTAGACTGCGGATTTTTATGCGAATTTATATTTTTCAGTATGTAGTAAAAAAAAAAAAGTAGACTTCGGTAGAAAATTAGTTTTTAAAAAGCACTATAATTTGGATATTTTGTATTTTCATATTACGTGCATTCTGTGCAATTTTGTCCTTTTAAATTTCTTGTAAATGCACAAAAATCCACAGTCTATTTATCAGTGTTAAATAAAAGTTTTGTATATATACAATCTTATAGTATCTGAATTTAACCCCCTGTAATCTGGTTTTTCTTCGTTCACGGGAAGAAAAATTTCGGTTGATTTTGTTTTGCATTTTGACGAGGGAAGCAAGAATAAATATAAGAAATAATTATTATGAAAAAGTTGGCTGGTAATATTGTAATAATACAATATAGTACAATAGTATAACGATGGATAAATAAACTGAGACTATAAAATATAGATAAATGGATACCAGGGGTGTGCGATAACCCGAAAATGTCGGGTCGAGAATTTATCTAGGGATCGGGTCGGGTTCCCCAAAGTATCTCGTGATTCGAGAATTTCGGGATTCTCGAAAGTTTCGGGATTCTCGAAAATTTCGGGATTCTCGACAATTTCGAGATTCTCGACAATTTCGGGATTCTCGAAAATTTCGGGATTCTCGAAAATTTCGGGATTCTCGAAAATTTCGGGATTCTCAAAAATTTCGGGATTCTCGAAAATTTCGGGATTATCGACAATTTCGGGATTCCCGAAAGTAGAACGAAACTATTATCGGAGAACGTTGAAAAATATAAGAAATAGAACACGGAACGAAAATGGTAAACAAATATGCGATAGATATGATTTATTTCATATTTTCCTGTAGAAAAGCTAGTTTTTCAACGTTCTCTGATAATAGTTTCGTTCTACTTTCGGGAATCCTGAAATTCTCGGAAATCCTGAAATTATCGGGAATCCCGACAATCTCGAATCACGAGATACTTTCGGGAACCCGACCCGACCCCGAGAAAAATTCTCGACCCGACATTTTTGGGTTCTCGCACACCCCTGTCAAATATCATTTTCTAAATGTCTCACCATGAGCATCCTTCGGTGTCGAAATGTCCATAGGTGTATTTTTGGATGACTGAAATGTTACTGTGTCAAATTCATTGAGAATAAAGTCAAGGACACGGGTACGGGCTTTATGGCGGTTCAGATGCAGGGAAAAATTTCTCTTGGCATTAATAAGCGCGACTCGCTGGACGCAACGTCGCCGTCGCGCCCCGTATTCCGCACCAGTTGGCAGTAAGCCCGTGAAAATAAACGCACTCCGACTGAAAACGGCCCCTTCAACATTCCAATCTCGATAGACTTTCTGTACTAGGCCAGTTTTGGGACCTTTGGGCAAAACCAGACCTCTTAAATTTCCTTACAATTTTTCCATCCGGAAAATTTCTGACCCCTCTCTTGGAATTGGCAACGCTTTCTGAGTTTTAATTCAGTTCTCTCTCTTACTTGGAGAGACCACTACCGATTTTTCTACTCCTCTTGTTGGATTGTGAAAACAGTGTAAAACCTGCGAATTCTTCTTGCAATTTTTCCATCTGGTAATTCCCGACCTTTCCGGGAACTGGCAGTGCTTCTGATTTCCAATTTAATTTCAGTTCCAGTTGTCTTTGGTGTAGAGTTAAAGTGTTTTCTCAGTTGGAGGAACTGTTATTGATTTTTCTCCTCCTCTGCTGTATTGGTCGGTGTACTTTTGAAGTAACCACACAGAGAGAACGTTGTTAAATAGCGAGAAAAATGAACGGAAAGATTCTAGTTTATCACAGAGATTTAAGTTAAAAAATTAATTTAAAAAAAAACGAAAGAAAAGTGGTTCAGACTGCGGAAAAAAGTGTAGGAAAAGATCTTCGCGTTATCTGAAAGATATTAAAATTTAGAAATTCTCCTTCCGAGAGAGATTTCAATTTCAGATTCCGACCAGAGAACATTCTTTGCATAAAGAAATAACTGGAAGAATACTTGAAGTCATCAGCAGGACAAAGATTTGAGAAATAATTCTTAAGATATATGTATATTCCATCCTAATTCCAATTTAACCGAAGAAGTATTAAAACGAAATGAAACCATCCAAAAAATATTAAAAGTTACAAAATCTAAAAAAATCGTTTTAATATACATTTTTAAACTTGTTCTACTTTAGATTTTCACCGGAAAAAAAATTCTTCGAGGTAAGTTTTCCCTGCTTATGATACTGTTTGGCTAGTCTGTCGAACCTTTAATTGGCCAACATTCGATGTTGATCAGTGAAAGATATATTCCTTCTAACGAAGCTAGAAAGAAGTGTAGATAGTAGAAGTTAATACCGAGCAACGAAATACCATTGGATCCAGGCGGGAGGTTTTTCGTGAGGGTCCAGAACTCGGGTTTCCGGCCCGTAAAACGCCTTAATCGGCTTATAGCCAGCGTTTAATAACTTCTACATGGGATATTAAGAGGGAACCGGCGAACTTATTACCAGGACTGTTTTCAACTGGTGTAAATCTGTTTCCCTAGTAAAGAAACCCTGTTGAAACTGATGGGGGATAAAAATGAACAACTGTTCAAATTTAGATAGCCAAGTATTTAAGAAACAAGGCACACATGAGAAATTTATTGAAATTTTTCATGATTATTTAGTAAATTATGTAGTAAAAGGGAATATTAGTGGGATAAACTAAGGTATTATAAGAAAAAAAGTGGTGTGATAACATGAGGAGCAATTCTGAATATTTTGAAGCATTACAAGGGGACTTAAAATGGCATTGGAGATTATTCTTCAAAAATATTGTTATTTAGTATAACTGTACAGAAACAGTCTAAGAGAGAATGACTTAAAGAAATTATACTGTTTAATAGAAAATAATATGAAGAAAATAATATAAAGAGTGTAACAAAACAGAACAAGTTCTAGATAGTTTCAGGTATCATAAAGTGGCTTAAAATACCCTTACAAGCAACCACTTAGAAAGACTATACCAACTTCTATAAGAAGATATCAGAAAATATGACACAAGCAGTATAACGGTATAATACTATATAAAAAAGGGATTCTGAACAGTTTTAAGCATCATAAAGTGACTTAAAATGGTTCCAGAGATCCTATTTAGGGGATAGGAATATACAATCTCTCTGATGCATGTAATAATGATAGTGTTGACTGTAAAGAAGATGAGAGATAGCAAGATGACGTTGACATGGTGTCAATTTCAAGGTGTCTAATGCTTTTCACAAATTTTTTCCTCGGTGATTCGTCGATGTTTACAACAGCTTCAGTCAAGTAAGGAATTATTGATCTGTTCGGAGCTTATATAACCTGGCCTGTTTTTTTTTCCACTTCCGTTTGCGTAGGCCGTATATCTCATTTGCCTGGGGGGTGGTGCATACCGTCCCGCGGATATTTTAGTGCACTCTGTTTCATGTGCAGCACGGTCAATTCTGTTTCGAATGCCCAATCGCCTGTTCGATTCCATATTCCAGCAAAATTATGCCAATTGGGATACATAATGATAAAATGCAATTTCAAATGCAGCGAAGACGCTGAAGGATATTGATTGCGTATGCAGGTTTTCACATAAAATGTATTCCCTGTAATGTTTCCAGGGATATTGATGAAAAGTTTCCTTGGACATGTTTTCGGAGAGTTTTAGAATGGATCATGATGGGTTGATTTAACGATGGATAGTATAAGATAAAGTTGTGTTTGATTCGCAGGAACAGTTTTTGGTACCTTTTTCACTGAAAATTACTGCTCCTTTCTTTTGTTTTTTTAACCCTTTAATATGATTGCAAACTTTTATTGATCATTCTGATACTCTCCGTGTAACTTTATAACTAATAAAGAAACTTCAAATTATGTTTTCCGAAGAATTACTTCATTTCCTGTTCCATAATTATTACAATATTTGCCGTTCAAATCGAACAATATTACATAAAAATTTCTTCAGGTATCCGAGTGCTGACTCGTCTATAATTAAAAACGAGTTTGCAAACCTAATTCTGCTAACAGTTATTTCACTATTGCTCCACGATTACCTTCATACAAACTATATTTCATGGAAATAATTCCTAAGTTATGAAAATGCTAATTAGATGTCATTTTGTGGTTCCAGAAGCAGCCTCAGCAGACGTGGCCGGTAGCAAGACGAGCAGCGAGGCGGTAGAGATTTTCCACTCAGAGAAGTTCTCTCCGGCAACGACGACGTCGTCCCCGTCGAACGTCGACACCAAGATGGTCGCCTCCACGCACAATCTCGATGATCTGGGCGTGAGCCATCCAGCCAGCGCGAGCAGCGACCGTCAGCAACAGCAGGAGAAGCATGGTCACACTTACAGATCCGCTCAGACTGCTCAGGACAAGAGAAGCAGGCTCAGCAACGTGATAAACAATCTTAGAAAGAAGGTCCCTGACTCCAGGAACGGAGATTCGCCGAGAAAAGAAGAGGACGACAGGAACAGCGTGGAGAGGAACCTTGAAACCCTGGAGAAATATGTGATGACAGTGTTAAACGGTGTGATCAAGGATGAAGAGGATGACGACAGGGAGGTTGGTAGGAAAAAAGAGGCCGAGAAGGGCAAAGAGCCTGAGAAATTGGCTGCAGACCAAGAGGACGAGGATTCAAAGGGTCCAGCAGCCAAATTTGAGCCATCAAAGCCTAATGAGAGTAGGACAGAGGCTGCTGTCTTCCCCTCTGAGCGATCTGACAAGCCTGAAATAGAGGAATCCTGCTTGGAACATCAGAACACACTGAGGAACGAGGAGTCCAATTGTTTAGAACTGAAGGAAAGCCAGGAGAGTCTGTCTGACATTGTTTGTGAGGAAAGAGAGTCCTCAAAGGTGGAGAATAGTGAGGAAGATGAAGTCTGTAAGGGTGGCAAGTGTTCTTCCAAAGAAGCAAAATCTGAGGAGCTGTCTGTGCAAGATACAGGGAGGAATAACAGTCTGGAAGAGGAGAAAAAGGAGAGTCGTTCTCTAGGGACAATTATTATGGAAAGGTTGAGTGAGAATCAGGCTGAGGAAAAGGGAAACGTTGATGCTACTAAAGAAGATAGTAGAGATTACATTTCTGAGAATGTGGAACTTAGAAACGTGTGCAGAGATCTGCTGAATGACCTTTTGAATGGCATTAACCAGCTGATCGACGAGAACAGCCAGGAAAAAGAGGAAATAAGAACGTTAGACATTTCCTTGGAAGAGTCTAAGGAATCTAGGAGCCAAGATTTCTCCATGACAAGCTTACATTGCAGTTTGCCTTTGGATAAAGTGGCTTCTGTGCTGCAGAACTGTCAGTCGAATGAACTAACAGTCCCTCAATCGCCATCCTCGCCTTCCTCTTCTCAGGGCTCAAAGTCTCCTTGCAAACTACCTTCACCAACAGTCCGGCACCTGTGCTTGTACTGTGACAGGAAGTTCATGTCAATATCCCTGAGGCAACGACATACTGAAAGAGTTCATCAACAAGGTGGAGGCAGGAGGTCTGAGAGAAACTCAAGGAAACCATCACAGAACTGCCAGTATTGCTCTGACAGGTGTGCAGAGAGTTTGGAGGGCCTGTTCCAGCATATGGTTGGCAGCCATGGGGACAAGTATCATGGTTGCTTGCAGTGCTCCACCAGGTACCTCACAAGGGAGGCCCTAGCTGGGCATATGAGTGAGAATCATAGTGTCAGTGTGGAGAGGAACCTTCAGTTTCAGGTAAGCTTCGGTTAGAACAGTCCTCAACCTTTTAATATTCACTCATTTAATTAAAAAAATTGTTTTTATTTCAGGAGAAGATGAAGGAGCCTTCCCCATGCAAGGAGCTAGGCAACCACAGTCCAAGAGAGCCCTCAAGCCCCAAAGAAAGAAGATCAGAAGAGCCAGATTATGAATATAGGGCAGAATCCACCCTACTAAAGCCTATGCTCCTAGTGAAAGACACTTTTAACAATCCTGGCAGCCCAGAGTTCGACAGTTCCTTCTACAGCAGCGTCAGCTGCAACATCCGTGAGAATCTGCTCCATCACCTTGATGGCAAGCTCCAGAGCTCATCATCTAACATCTCGTCCACCAGCTCCTGTATAGTGGACAACAAACCTCAGCAACAGCCGCAGCAACAGTCCTTTTACGAGCACAACGTCAACCAAATTCAATTTCCCATTGACATTTCGTTGACAGCTGCCACACCAGTCTACTCTAAAGAGTATAACAACGAGGAGTACGAGAATAGCAGTGAATATGCCCAGAAGCCTGGCAAGAGCAGTAGGTCCCATCCAAGAAGAGTCTCATTTGAGAAATACAACTTCCCTAGAAAGTATGATGGCAAAGAACAATGGACTTGCTCTATAAAGGATCTCAGCAAGTTTGATATCTCCACTCAATTGTCTTTGAGAAAGAAGCAGCAATTGCTGAAGGAAAGACTGGGTTTGTGCAGACTGCACCATGTTCATGTCCCTTCTGAGACTACTGATATTTCTCAGGATGAACAGAAACTTGGTTCCAGAAGTCCTAAAGAGCCTGAAAATATGGATGATGTCTCTACAGGTGTAAGTAAACAAGAGATAGATCAGAAGTCACGTTTGGACGCTTCAAAATGTATGGAGAACAAGTCTGATGGCTCTGAAGGGAAGTCACTTCAGAATACTGAGTTCAGTATTGAGTTTGGGAGCTTCCTGAGGCTGAGGAAGTGGGATGAGAAGATGTCTGTTGAGGCTGCTAAGAAGCATGAAGTTGTGTATGCTGAGTTGACAGGAGAGTGGTCCAGGCCTAGGGTCTACATCTGTGGCGCCTGTGCCACCAAACATGTAAGTGGGATTATTGAGCCTCACTGAAATTTTTTTGGAGTCATTTTGGAATGATTATTGGGATAACAAATGACATTGTTAGATCAAAGGCTATTTTAGGACCTGTTCTGAGTTATGCTTGAAGCAGACTGTATTTTACCAGTTTTGGAATGATGACAGTGAGACGTAATTAATGTTTGTTATCAGTAATTAATGACAATGTGAACTAGATAGTTTATCGACGAGCTAGTTGATCTTTGACATTCCTGTGATACTAGGATGTACCAGTTACTATCTCCATTCACTTAACTAGTTTACCAAGAGAAGTTAGTTAGAAATAGTAGAACAAGTGTTAGATCAACAGTTGGTTAACAGTTCACCAAAAAGCAGTATTGAAAGAACACAGCTGACCTCTCCAACACGATTGACATTTATGAGTGATTAGCTAATTAATCAGCCACTTGATTGATAACTATCGATCGGATCACAGACCAGTGAAAGGACATCTCTTGATGTTGATTGACAATTAGCTATCGTCGAACGAATCTCTATTGATTAGCCAGCTATTATATTGCCGTCGATTCCTAGGTTAATTATAATAACTGTGCCTCGCTGATCAATGTTATCGATCACTCGGCTAATTAGGACAATTCTGCTTCTCCAAGCTGAACTTCAGACTGATGAAGTTGGCCAAAGTCTCCCTCATGACGCAGAACAATTCTATTGGTCCAAAAGTATATCTACAAAATTCAGCATTTTCACGTATTAACAGTCCACCTGTCCAAAAATCTATGAATTGTGCTTTACTCAAAATTATTTTACCTATAGTCTTTGCTTTTAATTTCAGGTCACTCTAAAGGAAATGGAGGACCACAAAGTGACTTCTCATCCAAACGTCTGGTGCTCCCATTTTGAGTTTTCCGGCGACCAAAGGGAGCTTTACAAGCACCTGTTCCTTCCAGGAAAGGATATACCTACTGCAAAAGCGAAGGCGGCCGTCTTGGCAGAGAAAGTGTGCACCAAGTGTTCCAAGAATTGTACCACTCTGCCAGAGTTGCACAGGCATATGTTGGAGTGTGGTGGAGACCAGGCTTGGTTGTTAGGATTATTTGGCAATGGGAAGAAGAAGTGCAAGTGGAGACCATTTGGAAGTCGCAGTAGGAGAAGGAGGCAGCGTGGAATGAAGAGGAACATCCAAAACTCCCAGACACCAAGGGTGAACACACCTAAGGAGAAACAACCTACGGGGCCAAGAGTCAGGCCCAGTGATAGTAAGTAACATTTTTAATCTCTGATCGCCAAAGTATCACCAATAATAATTTCCTAAATTTTCAACCAATATTTAAAACATTGTTATTATTTATAGTTTGTCTGTTTTACAGATAGTTTGTGTAAAATATTATTCGTGATTCAGTGGCAGCTGTTGCATGACTATAAAAAATTTATAATTCTTATATGTATATCTTAATAATTATATGCCAGATCTTAAAGAAATATTCAACGCGTTTTTCTTTTATCCGCAATCGTTCACAGTAAAGCGGTGAAAATCGCCCTCGAAATCGAGGATAATAAACATATTTAGTCTAATATCTCGAAAGCTATTAGATATGGAGAGGTGATATACATTGTCGAAATTTGTATTTCTAAACGATAAATGTGGCTACGTAAACAGATTTGGAAAACGTTCATTTTTTTAAATAATATACTAAACATTATAACATTTTTGTTAATTATTCTTGTAAAGTATCGATTTCACGTAACTTTGTGTATATAAATTATGTAGCCAAAAACAAAATACGGATAAATAAATAAATTAAGCATATTAAGAGAAATAATTCTTGAAATTTATTAATACAGGTTGTTTCCTCACAGGCGAACAAAATTTTACCAGCTACATAATTCGAAGTATGATCATAGGCAGAATATGTCTTACAAATATACCCTTAAAACTCAATAGGGAGATACTGTTCATGAAAATTTCGGTTTTGACGTGTTGTAATATGCTAAATAAATTTTTATCGCCGGAACTATTAATCGTACCAACGTGATTTTTTTTCATTTTACTCAAAAGAGTTTGAGCTTTCTGAACAATTTTTTTTTTAAATAGAGAAAGTTATTTTTACCACCCAAAAATTATAAATAAATTTTTATTTTTCATATTTTTTTGGTAAAATGTTACTTCTAAAAATTTGAAAAAAATATTACATTCGCTGAAGTCTTCTTTACAAAATGTGAATATTTTGTATGTGATATATTTGGAAATTACCGTTTCAATGAACCATTAGATGTAGCCTTTACACGCCACTTGGGTAGAAAGCTGAATAGTCCCGTCTCGTACCAGTTAAGCGTATCTTCTGTCACGGCATGCCGTTAGACCATTCGCAGTCCCTATTGCAATGTTCAGCACCGTAAAATTTCATACCTTGGAATTTCAATACCATTTTTTTCAAATGTACGTATTATAAGCCTCCAACTAACATAAAATAAGAGCAAATTTTAAGAATAATCCTTTTATTTTGTAAAAAAATCAAAATTCTGATTTATCCGTATTTTGTATTTGGGCATGTAATTTATAAATACAAATTTACGCACAAATCGATAAATATTTTACCAAAGAAATTAACAAGAAAGTTTTACTTTTTAATACATTATTTAAACAAATGGTCTTTTTTTTTATCTGTTTACGCAACCACGTTCGACATTCAAGAATTCAAACTTGGTCAATTTACACCCCTCCTCTATTTGTAAATAGTTCTCGAGCTATTCAACTAAATATGTTTACTACCCCTGACTTTGAGGGCGATTTTTACTCCTCCAGCGTGGACGGTTACTGATCAAAAATACACGCGTTGAATATTTTTTTGAGATCTACCACATACCAAAATTTCATCAAAATCGGTGATTATCACTTCGGGATGTTCGCTTGTAAGTAGACAAAACGTTTTCAAATTATAAAATGATTTTTGTACCAAGATAAGAATATGTACTGTGTGTGTACAAGTTAATGTGCACATTTTCCCAGTGCAAGTATTTAACCAATTAAGGAGCTCATGTAATTAACACGTGAAAGAGGTTCTGATTAAGCGGTCACCTTGTATTTCCCTCTGGATCTAGCTGCTCGTAATTCACCCCGCCCTTTTTACGAGATTTAATGTGCTGCGAAATATAAATTTTAATTAACTTCCATTGCAGTGTAAATGTCGAGTCATGTAGAGGAGACAGTAATCAAGTAAAATGTACTTTTCCCCTAAAATGAACTTTTTTTTTTTCATATATATAAACCCTTCCTTTTTGCTCAGAATTTATTTGGTATGCTTGTAAGTAATTACCAATATTATTAATTACAATAAGTAGATTTGAGGGAAAACCAGCGAGGGACGGGAGAACCACGCGAATACTATCTAGCAATAAAAAAAAATCAATTTTTTCATACGAAAACCTTTTTCTTTTTGCTCAAAATATATTCTCCGTATTTGTAATTGCTAATGTTATTAATTAGCGTAAATAGATTCGAGAAAGAACAAGGGAGGACGAGGGAGAGCTGGGGAGAGACAGGGAGAACCGTGCGAATTCTATAACAATTTTAAGTTTACTTTAGAGTAAAAAATTCCAGCGCAGCACGCGCGCAGCGAATTAATAAAAAGCGAATGTAAATAGGAACACACAAAGTCCGAGGAATTTGTTAACCACATCAGAGGAGCGTTTAATTACTGCACTAATTAAAACTTTGTTTCATTTAGTTGAATCACTTATCTGACAACTTCTCTTTGCTACACAATAATTACGACCGCAATAGGCACGATAACTTGAAACTTATTAATTATGCCTCAATTAATATTAACGTACTACCACTTTGGGTGTTACATTTGCGTGTATACATATATGTGCATCGGCAACGAATGTAAAGAAGAAACTTAAGCTTCTTAAGGTTAATATTCTTAGACAAATGGTAATCTGATGAATGATTAATAAGTTATTCAAACAGAATAGTAGATACTTGTTCATGTATGAATAATTCCAAGTGTGTTATTAACAACTTGCAGTAAATAGTATTTTTGAATTGTTAATGATGTACAATGCTAATAAAATTTTCATTAAATATTTAAATGTAGCATATATTATAAATTTGTAATTTTTATTAGTAATTTAATGGAATGTTCTTTTTTCTTTTATTCATAGGAGAGAGCATACAAAAGATGCTGGCCAATTTACCACCTAAAAGGGCCACAAGGAAGGTGTTGCAGGACAGTACACTCAGGACACAGGGTAGACTACGCAATGTAAGTGCTAAATACTTAAACAATTCTATTAACCCCATCCTGGTAGTACAGTGTTGGTGTTATTGTGTCTAAATGTTGAATAATATTGGAAACATCATACATAAATACTACTCACTAAAACTATTAAACAGTACGTATATATTAAACAGAATTAAAAAGCTCTTAAAAGAGTAATAGTGTCTTTAGCATGTAAGAGGATTATAAAGCAAATTAAATTGACCTAATTTCACACCTAGTTATTATAAATATTCTGGATTATACTCCATAATTACCCCCACAATAGTCTAATGTGCCACAATTGTTTTTTTTAAATTTCATATCTAAATATTTAAAAACAAAATGTCAAGTGTACAAATCACAAAAAAAAAAAACGAAAAAAAAAAAAAGAAAAGATAAGTGTGTGTAATTAAGTGACAAGAAACTAAGCAACAGACTCAACAAAGAGGATTCATTGTCAATGAAAGCACCTCAAAAACAATTTCTAAGAAATGTATGCAATATTGTAAAAACATACAGGGTGACTTAAAACGCATGGATATCTACTGGATAACTTTAAAATTAGGTTAAACGAGCATCTCCAGTCAGCAAATGATCCGAATCCTGTATCGTTGAATGAAAAAGATGAAATTAAATAATGATAAGGCAATAACAGGAACCTGGTCCGGTTGGACGACACGGATATAAGTGGAGTATTGATTAGCCAACACGTGAACACACAGACTAGATACATAAGAGGAGGATATGGTCACGTAGTCGCACGAACAAGAAGGTTTTCGTGTTCTCTGAGAAAACTGGCACTCCCTGGGCGTTTTTGATAGAGCAAGCTTTGCCCATTGGGATTGATCATATATGGAAGACTGGGGGAACCTTGGCATTGATTCTGTTTGCAGAATAAGAGCACTGGCAATCAGTGTTCTTAATGCCAAAGTCTTTTTTTTTTTTTTTTTTTTTTTTAAACATTTTCGCCATTTTATTAGAGATAGAAAGATTGAATGTTTAATTGCATAATATTGATTGAGAGATCCTTGGGATTTGAGGGTTTTCATTGGAATTTAGAATTAGGAGTATTCAAACCTCTTGATTTATGAACAAAACAAAAAATTAAAGATTAAAAGTTCCTTTGGAGCATAAAATTTCAGATTAGGATTTTCAAAGATTCCGAATAAAAATGAAGTTATTAAGAGGATCCAATATTCATTTAAATACTCTTACTTTTGCTACTTTAACAATTTTTAACATTTCTTCAAAGTCAGGACTCAGTTTATACAAAATGTATCTTCTGTACTCAACTTAAAATAGCAAATCCCAGCCTCGACGTCAACACAATAGTATAATCCCTATACTACGTCCACCAGAGAGACTCACAGAACAATCATGGCAATGTAGCTTTCACGAAAAATGTCCCCAAGCTTCCACAGCGAGCTGCTGTACCACGAAGGCTTTTATACACCATAGGTGCAGACCAGAACGAGACCACGAATGGTCGGCGACAATTCCAGCGCGTCTCGACTCTCCCGGAACAAGGCTGCCCTGAGGAACAAGTTACTGAAGAACGCGAAGTCGATCCAGCGGAATCGTTGCAGGATCGACAATATTTCAGCGGTGATCGAGAGCGTTGTGAGGAACTACACACCAGAGGACAAGAAATCTGACGTCGTGGGAGAGAGGAACGAGCTTGACAAAGAAACCAAAGAGAAACCAACTGAGGGAACTTCTTCTATAAAAGATGACGCCCTATTAGATGAAAAAGGAAACAGGGCGAAGGTAGTCAGAGGTCCCAGAGTGCTCGGTAAGAAGAGAAACGTTAAAACGAAAGAGGGAACAGTGAAAAGTGTGGATCAGGTGAAGAAAACTGGTAGCTTGAAGGTCAAGGCTAAGGCTGCGTCGAAGAATTCACCTGAGGCAAAAACAGATGCATCTAGTGACGCTACGAGATCCTTGAAGAGCTCCAAAATTTCTTTAAAAACTGTAGAGAAGGTATCAGAAGCAGATGGATTAGAGACTAGCCTAGGTGAGAGCAAGTCCCCCAGTCTGGCTACGAAGAGCAAGTCTTCTAATCAAACAACACCCAAGAGGAAGCGACCAGTGGACCCTGTAGCCTCCTTGAATGCTTCAATCAAGGCGAAATCGCAGCTGAGAACGCAGGATGGTAAGTTTGCGAAGAATCCTAACAAAGATGCTTCACCTCAGAAATCTCCAGAAATCAAGTCTCCTGTTTCTGGGCGTCCAGTGGCTAAGGGGAAGGGGAATGAGGCTAGTCCAGAGTCGTCAATGACCAGGTCCAAACTGAGAGCTGTCTCCAGGTTCAAGAATGGCGAGCAGCTGCCCAAAAGGAACACCAGGTTGTCTTCAGACAGTGACAAGATGCCCACATTGGAACCAGCTGTTCAATTCTCTTCCAATGGTGAGGAATATGCAGAGACTTCTGCCAATGACCTGCCCATACTGTCACCAGCTACACCAGCCTCAAATCCAGAAAAGCTTCTACGTGGCAAACATTTGGTCAGCAAGACTTTGAACCTAGATGACAAGGATAATTCAAAGAGAGGTGAGGAAAGTGAGGAAACAGAGGGGAAAAGTGAGTCTAGAGGGAATGTACAGGGTGAAGAAAAGGAACAGAAACAGGGTAAAGGTAGAAGAGCAAAGGGTGAGGTAAGAAATCTGGATAAGAGTCTGGAATGTGCTGCTGCCTCCAAAGAAGTGTCTAAAGGTGTTTCAAAGGAGAAATTTAAGAGGAAAAGTGCTCCTGGGAGGATTGTGAACATTGAGGAGAAGAAGACACCAGCGAAAGGTCCTGAAGAGGTGAGTTTGAAGAAAGAAATGAGGCAGAAGAAGGAAGAGGGAAGATTGGAGACAAGGAGTAATGCTAAAGCAAAATTGGAAAAGGTACTCGACGATGACAGTCCAATGAAGATACAAAATGTTCCATTTGAAGTAAAAAAACTAATAGGATCTGACAGTAAAGAGGATCTACTGACCAAGTTAGTCCTCACTTCCAGGATTGCTACTTCCAAACGGTGTCTCAGGCAGCCTGTGTCTAAACTGAGACCTGAACAGGGTAAGGGCAAGGTCAAGAGAGATTTAGAGCTACAAAAAGCAAAATTGGACTCAGAATCTATTTCAGATGCCTCTACAAAGAAAGAGAAGTTCGATGCCAGAAGAAAATCTTTGAGAAGCACGGATAAAAAGGACAAGGTTGCATTAAAAGATGACAAAATGGTACTAGATGAGGTCAGTAAGATTAGGGAGGCAGTAAATGAAGTGAAAACAGCAATTAGGGGTCGTAGAAGCAGTAGTCTGTCCAGTGACAGTAAATCCGTGATAAATACTAACCAGACACTGTTGTGTGATAGCCAAAGTAAGCAAGAAGTTGAAGTTATAGTGCAGAATATTGACAAGAGACAGACCAGAGGCTCACTGTTGAATTTTACTGAGGGAGAGGCCCAAAATGAAGACAACGACATGCCCCTGAAGAAGAATAGCCTTGGGAAGAGACGTGGTCGAATTAAATCAATCAATGATACACTTGATAAAAAGAACAGTGAAATGTATCAAGTAAGGAGTGAAGAAATTGACAAAAATACCTCCAGTGAATCCATTGATGAATCCAAATCTGATGAGAAAGATAGTATACAATTTGAAGAGGGTAATCTTGCCAAGAACAGACAAGAAGAAAGTGACAAAAACGAGAAAGAGTTAGCACAAGCTTCAAATCCCTCAGAAAATAGTGAAACAGGCAAGGTGAACTTGAATCTGAATCATTTGCAAGTGGAAACCAGTAATTCTGTGGATAGTGGTAAAGAGAACTCGTTGGAGATACGTGCACCTGTTCAGAAATTGAAGGTTGGCAGGCCTAGGAAGTCCTGGGGAGCCAAAAAGGAGAGGGCATCAAAGAGGTCCTTGAATAATGTAATTGGTATCCTCACAGAGGGCATGAATATTCCGGTGGTAACTCAGCAAAATGTTTTAAGTGCTCAAATAACCTCAGACAGTGCAAATTCTGGTGAATTTCTTCAGAACAATAATCAGGAGCCTTGTGATGGCAATTCTAGGTCTCAAAGTATAGAAAAGAATAATAAGTTCTCAGAAAATAGTGTTCCAGAGGTACCAAGTGCTTTTGATACGTTGATTGAAGAGATACCTTGTATTCCTGAACAGATTGAAGAGGTTTCCAAGAAGGATTTGAGCATGGAGAGCCCCATCATGAAAAATCAGAAGATTGAATCTCCCTCTAAAGACATCAAAGATCAGACACCACCAGCCAATGATATAATTTTAGACTTGTCTAGAAGGAAGCAGAAAGGTAAAGGTTCATTTTTAGAAAAGATTGTCTCAAAGATAGCCAAACAGAAGGATGCTCTACTGGAAGGTGAGGTTGGTTCTCTGTTAGATACAGCTGCTGACGAGCTTACTAGTATTCTGGACGAGGTTGGGACTGGTTTTCCAGAAAGTTCAGAGAATTCAGTCAATAAAACAAGAATAGAGAAAAAAGTTGAGGATAGTAGACAGGAAATCGATCAGGAATCCATTAAAGAGAATTGTCAAGATATCCTGATACCCAAATTATTTGACAAAAGCTTAGGAAATAATGAAACTAAAGTAGAGACTGAAGAAAAAAAGTTACCTTTACAAAAAGAAGAACCTTCTAAAAAAAATCCTGATCAGAAAGAGGTAAACAGTGAATCCATTAATTCTTCCTATCAAGAAGTAACTGATCAACAAGTTGAAGTTAAATGGCCAAGTGAGATTGAGAAAAATACTTCCTTGGAAGTTCAGAGTGATCCAAAAGTACATGATAAGGTTGTTTCTGTTGTATCTAGCCTAGTCCCAAATGGAATTCGACTACCGGTCTCTGAAAATATCCCACAGCCTTCATTAAATGGTTCAACAGAGGTTTGCTTGCCAAAAGAACAAGATAAGGCAGTGAAGAAGAATGAAGATATAGTAATCAAGGACACAAAGGTAAAAAGGAAGTCCAAGAAGAGGTCGTTGGAGGGGAATTCACCAAAGAAAAGCAAGAGAAAGTCCATGGAGCTAGCAGAGAACTCCGAGGAGCTGCATGTAATCGAAAAATCAAAGCAAGTGCCTTCTACCAAAGAAAATGTCGACGACGATTCGTCCAGTGAGGTTAGTGGAAAGAAAGTTCAATGTGGCAAAAGGAAAAGTATTACTGATGAACCTGAAACAAAATATTCAGAAGAAAACAAAATTGTTGAAGATGTTCAAATAATTGAAGATCCAAATGAAAGTGCTAAGAAGCTCAAAGTCCATTCTGCAGAAGACAAAGTAGCAGAAATTAATGAAAACAGTATTGAAGACCCTGCTAGTGTAATGAAGAATAAAGATGAAGAAGAAAAGTTTTCTTCATTATTGAGGATAACTGGAAAGAGGAAATCTTATGTGGAAGTAATGGATCAGTATCCAGAAGTGGAATTTTCAGCCAGAAGGTCCTCCAAGAGGAGATCCCTTCAGGAAGAGAAAACTAACCAGTTTATTGAAGAAGATACAGTGTCCAAAGTGGAATGTGTTGAAGTGAAGGAATCTTCTGTGGTTGAAGAGATATCTGAAGACATCAGAGGTCTAAACAGAAGATCTTCGCGGATGAAATCTATGATCCAAGCAAAAGATGTTGAAAATGATCCTGTTATTAGTATTAGCAATATTACTCCAGTGGAAGATCCTGAATTGCCAGTGGAAGATTCTTTAGAGAAGAAAGAATCGTCAAGAGTTGAAGTTCTAGTTGTAGAATCTACGATATTAAATACTTCAGAAGAAGTTAAAGTGGTTGAGAAAGACACTACTTTTAAAAATACAGAAAATGAAGCAACAAATGAAGAAGGTATTCAGAATGCTCCAATGATTGACTCAAAGGAATCAGAAAAGATTGAAGAAGCTCCAGTTGTCCCCAAAGTGCCCAAGAAACGAGGTAGAAAGAAGAAGTGCCAGATTATTGATCAAACACAGGCACAGGCTAATGATTCTCAAGAAAATCCTAGCTCAAAATTGGAAATGCAAGTTATAAAACCTGACACAGCCATTTCGAACCAACTTCCACCCAGGAGATCGTTAAGAACAAGCAAATTTAATGAAGAAACTGAAGACCAAAGCAAAAATTTTGTTGATTTGACTAATGTGCAGATTGCATCTCCCAGTTTGGAGCCTTTCAAGGTTCCAGAGGTGACTGAAGTGCTGCAGCACACTAAAAAGCGAACCTACAAAAAAAGATCAACTACTGACGATCATTCAGACACTCAAAATAATTGTACTGTCACAACAGAACCTGAGGTAAGTAATGCAGAATGTCCAGAAGTGAGCAAAAGTTTGGTAGAAAAAGAGGAACAGTCTGAAAATTCCAGCCTCAAAGTTCCCTCTGAGAGTTATAAACGTTCCTCTAGAAGTTCTAACAGAGAACAATTGGATCTGGAAAGATCAAGCTCCTCAGGATCCATAGATCTGACTCAAAGTAACAGAATAAGGTCATCCAAGAGGAAACAGCTGTCCTCGGAGGATCTGTTAGGCCAGGAAAGCCCCAATCAGCGAGCAGAAAGTGTAGACAACTTGTCTGAAACCTCGTGTGTCAGTGAGTCTAGTTATTTCAGGAAGAAACGTTTTTCAAAGAGGAAGAAGGAATTCCAGGAGCCCCCAGAAGATGTGCAGACAGATACTTCAATCACAGACTCCGAATCTATGGATACAGAGAAGAGCACAGACAGAAGGCAAAGTTTAAAAAGGAGAGCTAAAAAAAACATATCCTTTTTTGAAGAATTTGATCTAGTAGATGATTTTGACATTCCAATGGACATTCAGGACTTAATATTAAGTGAAGACACTATTTTCAACAGAGCTAAAGAAGCTAAAGAATTATCTGTTGAGGACAAAGTGGTTGAAGAGGCATCTTCAAATGAGGTATCTAATCAAAATGAAGAACCAGAGGAGGAAAAAGTGGAAGAAATAGTCCAAGAGGAGTCCAAAATGTCACTCATTGAAGAAGAAGAGGAAGATGAAGAAGACGGAGAACAGAAAGATGAAGAAGATGAAGAACAGAAAGATGAAGAAGATGAAGAACAGAAAGATGAAGAAGATGAAGAACAGAAAGATGAAGAAAAGGTGGATTCTAATGTGGACAGCATTTCACAGGCACAGGATGAATTCCAGACACCGAAGAAAAGGACAGCAGGTAACTATGTAGTGGTCCACAGGAAGACTGGAGAGATTCTAATAGTAGAGAAGAGGAAGAAGCTGACGAAAGAGGCTGCAAAGTTCTTCTGTGATGTATGCACCACCAGCTTCACCAGGAAAAGTTCGCTAAAGAAGCACAACCAGTCCCAGTCACATCTGCTGCAAATAGCTAAGTTTAGAAAGGAGAAAACATGCACAGAGGATAATAAAAATATTGAGGATACCTGCAACACTAACCACAATGATATTTCCAATGATGAGAATAAAAGTGTGACTGATGAAGTGATGAATCTTTCCTTGGAATCAAAGAACAATCAGAAAGAAACTGATATGTCAGAACCAATCATCAATCAGAAGGATTTGGAATCTGTGCAGAATGATTCTTGCTACATCAATCCATTAGAACAGGAATCTTTGATGGATTCTCAAACCACTGAACAGCATATTTTTGAGGATGAGCTCCTGGATGAGGAAATCTGTAAAATCACTGAAAACATGAGCCATGACGAGTACGTTCTGACTGATCACGTGAGTCCTGAGCCTGAATCCACGTCCACACCCATAAAAATAGAGATTAAGAAGGTGGAAGCAGAAGTGAAGAGGAGGAAACACGAGACAAAAAAGGATAAAACGAAAAAGAAGAGTCTGACTGACGAAGAAGTTGTTTTAGATAGTCCTGAATTAGAAACTCCCTCAGATTCAACGTTGATAACTGTTTTAGGGGCCAATATGTCCATTAAAATCACAAAATCTTCACATTTGAATATGTTGCAGCCTAATTTCGACAACAAGGATGTTTTAGAAGACAGTGAGGGTTGTTGTTCATTTGAAGACTCTTCTATTGTGACTAATGTGAAACCTAGAACTGATATTTCACCAGTGAAAGAGAGTGAGTTCAAAGAAAAGTGTTCAGAATATCTTCCAAGGCTGCAAGAGTGCCAGGGTGTGGACATGGAGGTAGAGGACACAATTTTAAGAACAGAAGTGAACAAAATTGTGGATAGTAATAAAGGATACCAATTAGATCCTGATGAAAAGACTGAGAATTGTTTCAGAGCTAATTTAGAGGATAGAGATAACAAGGAGAGACAGCCACATGAACATTTGAGCCTGAAATTCACCATAAATAAACGCAGCATAGAACAATGTAAAGAAATTGATTCTGAGAGTAAGAAAAGTTTTGAATTAAATTATTCAAACAACATGAAATTTGTGCAAGTTGACCCACTTAAACAGATTAATCATTCTGAACCAGAAACTGATCCAATTGAGGAAGATTTAAATTTAAGTTCGTCTAAAACCCTTAGAAAAGGAAGCAGAAGGAATTTGGAGAACTTGGAAGAATTGAATATCTCTAAAGTACAAAATCTTGAGGAAGACACAATGAATCTAGATAATTCAGGTGATCAAGAAACTCCTGCGATTGTTGAGGAAAAAATCGAGATTGAGAAACAAAGTGAACCTTTAAAAACTTCACGACATGGCAAATCTAAGAAAAACAAAGCTAAGAAGCATCTTGAAGAGGCAGAAAATAATTCAGAGGACAAAATTGGCAAAAAGTCTCCTAGGTCTAAAGGTAATCAAAACAAACTAGTATTTGATGAAGTAACAAAACTTCCAGAAATCATAAGTGATCAAGAAACATTTTACAAGAAAGAGGAGTCAAACTGTTTGGTACCCAATTCACAATTGGAGATTAATTTTGATAAGACAACCAGCCCTATGCAAACAGAGAACAAATTAGAACATGAATCTAAAGGGTTAGAAATTGTTGAAGAACAAGAAACTGAAAAGCTCTATCCTGAACCAGAAGTTTCAGAAGGAATTAGTTTGATAAAATCAGTAGAGGTGCAACAGATTCATGATAAGAATAAAATCAAACCCTTCCAGTCCATGGATGATGATGAAATTTCATTATCATCAAGTCTTGCAGATAAACCCTTATCACAGCTGTTATTAGACAGAGAGGAGAAAATAGAGTCTTCCACAATTTTCTTGAAGGATTGTGACAACGAACACAAGTCACAAGATAAGTCAGAAACAGATGACATCAATTCTAAGACCAATGAATATAAAATTGATGAAAATTCAATGGATACTAATGAGTTAACTGATAATCAAAAGTCTGATGACAAAGAGTTGACAAGTAATGACCAGTCAAAACTCCAAATTGTGTCAGAAGAGGAATTTGAGCAAGAAACAGAGTTAAAGTCAGCAGAAAATTCTGAAAAAGAATCCAAAATCTCATCTGAATCTGAGAATAGCGAAGCAGTTCCCTTAATAAAGAGTGTTTCTAATGAGAAACAGTCTTATAACACAGTGGAGACAAAAACAATTAGTAACAGTCGAAAATCTAGCACCAGTGATCATCAAAGTTTGTGCAAAAAGGTATCCAGAGCTCATAAATACAGTAACAAAGACAATTATAAAAAATCCAGAAATAAAAAGGTTTCTTTGAGGAATAAGATTTCTGAACTAACTAGTGAGAGTGATGACACTGAAAGTGAGGACAAAATCGAGTCCCAGAATAAAAGTAAAATAGTGAAAAGTGTGTTTGGCAGAGTTTTTGGCGGTGAAAAGACAGATAAAGTGAAAGAAGTGTTAAATGATTGGGTGTCCAAGTCAGAAGATGATTCAGAGACCTCAAGAACTGAATTTGAATCCTCCAGTCCTAGTGAAGTGAAGATTAAAGGACCCTCAGGGTTAAAAAATGAGAACAAGGACACTAAAAGACACTCAGTTTTATCCTCCATGCCTTTCAGTCCCAAGAAACGTTCAGCAAAGAGGTCAAAGAAGAGTTCTTCTTCAGACAGAGCTAAAGAGAAGAGTTCAGTACCTGAGAACCAAGAAGAACAACGTTCTGGTAAGCACATAAAGTCAAAGAACAGCTCCAACAACAAAAAGAAACATGAACCAGACACTTCAAATGGCTACTTCCTAGTTCTACCTCCAAGAAAGTGCAGACCAAGTAAGAAGAGAGCTGAGGAATTAATTTCCAGGACCTTTGAGAACGATTTCTTGGAATCCAATGTTGACAAGAGCCAAAAATCATCTAAACACAAGGAGGGCAATTATGGATTGAGGAATCAAGGCAAGCCTGACCTGACGATCAAAGACAGTGGCTATGGATCCTTCAATTATGATGAGGATTCCACAAAAGTGGTTATTCTTCCCTTGGAGGATCTCACAGAGGATGATCAAAAAATAGTTAAGAGGAGAAAATCATCATCCTCAAGAAAGAGCAAAAGTAAGACTGATGATGAGGATTGGAGGGACCTAGTGATAGACAAGAGGAACTTGAAGAATTCTAAAGAATCTGGAGATGAAGAGAACTGTTTCATCAAGGAGCTTCCTCAAAGAGAGTCTTTGACCAGTAGGCTATCAGTTAATCTAGAATCTTCTCAAAGTTGCAGTAGTCTAGCTCCTAGTAGTGTGAGGAACAGGTCACCCAGCATGGACAGGAACTCTCAGACAACTAGAGACTCAGATGTGGATGAGGAAGATGAGGACTTAGGTCACAGAAGAATATCCCCTCTGTTTATATGTGGAACCCCCAGGAGTTCCATTGAGAGCAGCTCTAACAGTGAGAATGAAAAGGAGGATGAGAATGTGACTGTAAATGAGGCTGTTACAAGGAAGAGGAGCTCAAGTGAGTTCTCTGGAGAGAAAATTGTAATCAGATCACCATCCTCCACACACAAGGGTGAAGTGGTTACCATTACACCCACTGATGCCATAGAGGACAATGCTTTGGATGTGCCTCAAGAAATTGAGACTACAAAGCCTAGACAGGGCAAGGTTTTAAACTTTGATGAGGAACTATTTGTTGAGTGCTGCTCCAGACTGAAAGCTACTACTGAAAATGAACTTAGAGGTGCCAAGAAGATTAAATTGGACCACAACGAGGCCTATCACAGGAAGGATGATCAACAACAAGGGTTCCGGGGACCCAGGGATCGCTGGAGAGACGTGGAGAGCCAGAACAGTTTGGGAAGCCTGTTAGAATCAGTAAATCAGGTGAGTATTTGATAAAAATGGCTAATGTGTTGCATGTTTGTTGAGATATTTGTTGTAGACAATGTTAGTGAAAAAAAATTTAAAATTGAAACAGAAAGGGGAAGAGGAGAGGAGGGGTGAGGGAGGAGAGAGAGAGAGAGAGAGAGAGAGAGAGCTCGTTCTAGATAGCCTCATGAATTAAGAGGTCATTAAACTTTTTTAGCAAGAATATTTTTATGCACACTTGTATGAATTCTTTTTATCAGCAATGTTACAATACAGAATTAAATCAGTTATTTTAGTATCAATTTGATTTGTGTAAGGCTAATTAGAAGAATTAATGAAACATTTTATCTTAACATGCAAAATTATACAATCATGATGATATATATATTTTTTTCAATTTAAAATTTCACGGTAAGTCAACAGGATGATTACTCATGAAATATACACATAGTTTCTACTGATGCTTCTTTTAACACAATGTACACTTCATCATTGATAACTCTACACTCTGTAAACAGTCTTTTCTTCTCTTTTTCAATTTATGCGCTTTGCTTATAGTAATCTTACATTGTGAGATGATTTATGCTTTTAGCTCACATCTGCAGAGGTTTCGTTTTCTCTTATACATGCTCACGGAATTTTTATCTGTAGGGGTGTTTCCTGAAGAGAACAGAAAAATAAAATTCTGAATTTTTCTAATATTGTTTTGTTCAAAATTTGAAAAAGAAATCTACACAGATATAACAATACTAATAATATAAAAAAAGATGCTGTAGAATAATTCTCATTTGTACAGACAATCCAATGATTGATGTATTTTATTATTGTTGGATATCAAGATATATATATACACACACACACACACACACACACACATTTTTTTGGTAACACTATGTTTGATATCACTCTTCTAATAGTGTAATAAATTTGTTATTTACATATTCCAGAAATAAGGTTTCAATAGTAAAATGGATTACACCCTTACATGGAATTCCAAGAAGGGAAATACTCTATACATTATTGTGGTAATGTTTGCAGGACCTATGAACCAGCTTTATACAGACAATGTCTCTCAGTATGCATGCAAAAGGTAGTTCTCTCATTCCTTCGACATTTCTTAGTGTGTACGGTAGTCATGAAAACTTATTCTCCCTTCTAAATGATATTTGGCATCTCTTGCATAAGATTTCTCCATGATAGATTGCAAGTAACCAATGCTGGGCATTAGCTTCAATAAAAGAATGTTCAGCTTGGCATTATACTAACACTTTTCATTCATATTATTAACATAACATGCACAAGAATAAATGACTCCTGACTTTCTTTATCTGTGAAAAATGAACAACATCTTAAAGAAACTTTTTTTTTCTTACCACCAGTAGACCTAATTTTGTTGATCAATGTGTACCTGATGAAAGAACCTCCAGCTATTGTAGATAATTATGCTACATGTTACAAAGTGGTCTATTTAAAGTGATCTCATTTTTATGTTCTTATAAATCTTTATGCATAGCCTATGAAAGACTTAAAATCTCATGTATCTCTTTCAAATATTCCACTCTGTACAAGTATGTACCTTGCAGAGAGCAAATACCACAGTGAGGTACCCAGACTTTCATTGAAACAGGTATTGATCTTAATCTAATCAATATTTATATATCTGGTCAATTTCAGTTACTGGGTGAGGAGATGTACAGCGCCAGGGAAGGAGATTACCCAAAACGAGGGAGTAGAAATCTGAGAAGTGAACACTCTAGCAGATCAGCCAGCCCAGACATGTCCAGAGCTGACAACTTAGGTTATGAAGACAGTCTGGATGTAGCATTTGAGCACAACAACAAGCTCAGGGACAAAATTCAACAGCGCATGAGGGAGAGTGAAAACCTTATTGCCAGTACTTTTAGTCAGAAGAACAGCATTGAGATTGTGGATGGTGAACAGCTTTCTAAAAATAATGAACATAACATGTTAAGGAATACATACTCCCACTTGCAAGAGCAAAGGCGGCATTTGTCTGGCACAAATTTGTTAAATGGAGGCTACAATGATACTTCCCATGTCAGAAGTCTACCAGAGCAACAAGGTACAGGGAAAATGAATTTGGATTCTTCTGGAGCTCTTAAGAGCAAGATGAACTCTTCACTGGGAGGTTTATTGGACAAAGCATTGTCCAACCTGTTGCATAACAATGAAAAGCATGATCACAAGTGAGTAATGTACTATGTATTAATTTTTAATTAATTTTAAAGCGAATTAAAGTTTGGTAAAAGTCTTCCAAAATTTTGAAGTGAGATTAAATGGATCATGTTATCACTTATTGGGCCTCTTCACGCTCCATTTTTTGGAACCGATGTTCGACAGGTTTTTACAACAAAATTCTAAACAGTCTGACAGTCGTTTTACACAAAAAGTCGTTTATTATTTCGAGTAAAATGTCAATCTCTACAGAGAAAAAATTGAGATTCATACAGAAGATCAAACATTAAAGTCAGTTTTTCATTTCCATACCTGTTGATCGCGTTTTTGACAGACTATATTATAATTTCTCATTTTTATTCGACCAATTATCAATACACTATTCTGCTATTGTGACGCGACTCTAAACGTTGCACTGAATCCCCCTTTTGTCAGTCAACGACGTCCATATTTATCAAGAACGTTGTCAAACATTGTATGAGGTCAATTTTCAATTGATAAATGAAACTTCAATGATCCATTATTTTATTCAAGATAATTTGAATTAAATTCCTTAGATAGTTTAAATTTTTAAACTTGGAGATCATCCTTAAATTTCAGTACACGTGGACTCCACAAAACATTTAAATCTTTATTTCCCACAATTCCAAGATACTTGAGGTGTTTTAATTTGGCTAATAAGAGTCTCCAAATCCCTTTCACGAAACTCGGAGCTCTGAAGGCATCTAGGGGCTCCAGTCAAGCATAGAGACAGAGTCTGTGTATCTGTAAATAATAACATTCTAGTCTCGCCCAATGCTTCCCTATTCGTTCGTGTTATGTATTGATCTGATCCCCTCACCCCACCCACCCACAACAAACTATCTCCATGTAACAGAATATACGATACGATTATATCAAACAACGATGGAAATATCAGCCAGAGAAACTTTTTCTGCTTCAAGCTATTCTAGCTATTTCCCAGTTGTGAACAGGAAATGTAGAAGAATAAATATGTTCCAGGTGGCTCTAAGTCTCATATGCATAAATTAGATATTTTGACATTGATTTCTCTCTATGGTCCCCAATTTGACTATTAAAATAAAAGACTCATATGTCCAGTTCTAGCTTAAAAATTTCTTCACACTAAATTATGAATAAAAGCAATATTATTCTGTCCACAGTGGATCCACTCCAATGAAGGTTCTGGCAGAGCTAGCATGTGCTCGAGCCCCAACATCTACAACTGAAGAACAAGCATCTCAAGAGGTGGTCCAGGCTGTGGGGACCATTTCACCTGGCAAGGATTCAGTGTCAGATGCAAGTCCCATAGATATGCCTAAAGACCTCCAAAAAAAGACTAGAAATCCTATCAAAGAGTTATTCGAAAGGAAGAAGGAGATAAATGAAAGAAAACAGCAGGAGAAGTCAAAAACAGAAGCGGCCCTTCGAGAACTGAATGTACACAGACAACGCAAGGCAAAGAAGACGAAGAAGCACCAGGACTTTCCTCTGATTCGTCGTGGAGAGCATGGAGGACTAGTTGAGAGGAAGAAACGACGTGACGGCTTTGAAAGGAAGGAGGAATTTGTCTCAGACAGGATTAAGGATGTATACGAGTTTGACGAGGAAGAAAGTCAGATGGAGCCTAACCTGGGAAGTGTGATGTCTTACAGGAGCAGGCCAGGCTATGAGGTGAGTTGTCTGAAAACCAAGGAAGTGGATGTAGCTGGTCTGATGTCCAAGGCTATTGGAGATAGCCTAGAGAATGGTAAAACTGGTGATGCTCTGAGCAGCAGATTGGAATCTATGATTGATAGGAAGTTCAAAGAGTTGGAAAAGTTTGCTCCAAAGACAAAGGGAGCATTGAAGGCTTTCCAAAGTGAAGATCAGCAGAGACAGGTCACTGGACCAATGGATGAGTTTGTGGAGAGGAAGCAACCGAAGGGAAAAAAGACTGTGGAGCCATCTCTGAAGCACTCTAAGCTAAAGAAGCGTAGCAAGAATCCTAAGAAAAAGACTAGAAACGCTTGGTACGAGAACGACAGCTCTGATGAGTACAGAACAGCAGTGAAGACAGAGGATGTTGGAGTAGGCATTTCAAAGAGTCAGAGAACCTGTTCTAAAGGAAAACAGAACATCTTTGCGGAGTTGTATACCTCCTCAGAGAGTGAATTTGAAGATGAGGATGTGGATTTTGAGTCCAGAAGACAAAGAAGAGTGAAGAAGACCACGAAGAAGGCTACAGAATTTCAGAATGTGGATCAGAGCCAGGAATTGGTTAATAAATATTCTTCTGAGAACGAAGATCATGTGGACGACTGGAGAAGCGAAGATTTGAAGGACAACGCAGCCAAACATGATTCTGACAATAAGAAGTCTGAGTCAGAGATGTCTGATCATCCTCTGGTTATCGATGAGAGGAAAGACGTGGACGAGCAGAGGAACAGTGACGAGGAGATTGAAAATCAATACGAGAGGAACTTCGAAATGGATGATTTATACAGAGAAGATAGTTCTGTAGTTGACTCAGATGCAGAAGAACCAATAAACACAGTACAACCAAACGTCCCAGAGGAATCTGGAGCAAAAAGTCCATGTCTGCCACAAGAGAAGATTGATAACAAGACAGATTACATGCAGGAAAATGAACTAATCCCTCTTGAAGAAGCTCTAGATCTCCTGGACCAAGCTGACAACGAAACATCCCTAGAAACAAAGTATGGTAACGTGAACGTGAACATCAAACCTGTGGAAAATATTGATACAGTAGTATCAACAGAACTTGAGAAGGAAATGTTTACTCATGTGCAAGAGCCAACAGCGAAATCTCCAACAACTGAGGAGGAGCAGGAGGAGGAACCTGATAATGATCTCTTAGTCTTGCCAGAAAAATTGTCCAGCAATGAGAAGCCACAAAAAGAGTCAGAAAATCTTCCCCTTCATGTATTCCTGAGCAGAAAGGTGCAAGAGTCGAAGAAGAGGAAGGAGCAGCAGTTGAAAAAGATGCAAGAGGAGCAAGAGAGGATATTGATGGACTTTCAACCTACCAGAAGACAGAGGAAGTGTGCCATTGGTAAGCAGGGATTGTTGGCAGAGATAAGCAGCTCTGATGAAGAGACAAATCCAAGGGATAGAAGAACCAACGACAGGTCAGACCATGATAAGCCACGCAAACAGAAGAGGGAATCGAAGGAGAAGAGGAAGGAGAGGTACATAGAGAAAAAGCATGAGCAGATGATAGCGAAGGAACAGAAAGCCATAGAGGAAGAGATACTGAGGGAGGTTGGGAAGAAAAAAGAATCCCTTGCGCAGAATATTGCAGACGTAACGGCAGACGTCAATGGCACGAAGGAACCAGAGAAGACAGAATCAATAGACAGAAAAGTAATACAAGAACCAGTACAGAAGAAGAAACACCAAGTGAAGGACAAACAGAAGAAACAGAATAAAACAGATGAAAACACTTATGCCAAAAATAACCGTGAAGGACTAAGTGATCTAGAGAATAATTGTAACAAGTCTGTATCAATTGAAACTAACCATGAGAGTGAGAGTAAACAAGAATCTTCTACAAAGCAGAAGAAGCACTCCAAGTCTCCAATAAAACCGAAAAAGACTTCAAAGACAGACATAAAAGTCACAACAATAGGTAAAAAGAACAAAAATTCCAATACTGAGAAGAAGAGCAAGGCAGATTCAAAGGGATCAAAGGACAAGGAACGTAGATCATCTAGTGGTAAAAGGGACTCTGATGACGAAGAGCTGAAGACAACGAAATCTTGGAATAAAGTGGAAGAAGGTGTCGGAGTGGCCATTGGTCGACGAAAACGAGCAGCTGCCAATCAATTATATTATTGGTCCAGTTCAAGCGATGAGGAAGAGATACTTGAAGTGGTTCCTGTAGTTGAGGAGGAGGAAGACGACCGTCAGGAGCAACATGGCTGGATCGTCGGTGACTCCCATAAGAGAATGATCACCATGCTCGCCATGGAGAAGCAACTGAAGGAGAAACGTCGAAGGAGTGAAGACGAGTTCGAGCCTGGCAAGGCAAAGAGTAAAAAGCACAGAAACAGCACCTCTTGATACGTGTTTCATGACTAGGTTCGTTCAAGTGACTAGGAGCAAGGCTGAAGAATGTATTATTCTTTCAGAGAAGTGTAATGAAGACAGAGATAACAACTTTTGTAAAACTAGGTTCCTTCAAAGTGAACAGGAACAGTTCCTTTTTCGAAATTAGGAAATATAGCTGAATGACTCTTAGAGAGTCCAAACAACAGCACAAGAACTGCGAATAATACTTGATACACGTTTTATAAACTAGGATCATCATCGAAGCAGTTAGAAGTGACTGAGGAGTACACTGTTTTTTCTTATGTGGACAAATATGAAGCAGAAGAATATAGGGAGGAGGAAAAACACAGAAAAAGCGGAAGAGCACATAGAAAAAACTTTTGATACGCATTTCATGACTAGGTTTTTTTCCTTTTTATTAAGTGATTAGGAACGCTCTGAAGAATACATCGTTCTTTTTTCTAAAGTAACAGAACTGGATTTCTTAACACGTATCGCAGGATTTAAAGTTGAAATGATTAGAGGAGAGTCTTTTCTAATCAAAAATAGTGTAACTGGATCTTTTGATACTAGTCTTAGGCTCACGGACGTGAATGAGAGAATTAGATTCATTAAGGTAGCTAAAAGATAATAATACTGTTCTGTTGCTAGATACAGTGATGTAAATCAGCAATTTTTTCTTTGCTGATTAAATAGCAACGAAGGGACAATTAGTAACCAGTTCATGTCTGGCAGAGACGAGAAGTGTGGAGGTGTATGAAGTGAGAGTTTTAGAAATGAAGAAATTAGGGAAGAGACTATACATCGTTAGAAGTCAAAAACTATGATTGTTCATATTTTCCTTCGTGTTCTTTTTCAAGTATACGAAATAACGCGATCTTTCGCGTGAATTTAGTACTCTTTGTTTCTTTTTCTTTTCTTTTTTCAATTCTCTTTTGATTTATAGTTGGCGCTCTTTATAGTTTGTAGAACGTGGCGCTAAAAACGCTCATAATCGACGCTTATTTGTTCCATCGTGTACGATGGATGTAATGTGACCTACTGCCAGAAGAAATTCGATTTCTTTGGGTATATATATTGTTACAAACGATATGAAACGATCGAGGTGTGTGTCGAGTTTTGATGAAACCGAAAAAAGAAGCATCACGCGTTGTGTAACCAAGTTGTGTAAGAAAAAAGGAAAAAACAAAATGGCAACCTGTACATAGCAGCTTGGCATTAACAATAAACAAAAAAAGGCTAGCTCGTATTACATTAAGAACATAATAATTCCAAGCCCTTATAAATACTATAAATATAACCTAACTTAGACTGAATGTGAGAAAAATAGCGGACATTAAAGGAAATAATAAAAAAAAGAGCACCTTTAGACAATACTAGGACATTTGTAACGTTTTAGTTAATGTAGTAACGGATCTTTAGGTGACGAATAAAGGATTCAAGGGAAATCGAGGAAATTAACCTTAAAAAAAAAAAGAAAAAAAAAGCAACGAAGATGGAGGAAAATGATCACAGCTGATTTTTATTTATGTGAAAGGACGATGTAAACTGGGGTCCAATCAAGTAGCGTGCTTTTGCCGGCTTTTTGTGATTCGTACATATCGCGATAATCGAAAAGGTGAAGAAAACATAATGAGAAAACTTGACTGCCGGTTGTTTTCGTGGTCCGACATATTTTTTTCAGAATCATTCTGAATCGAGATTCACATTTGAAAAGTCGCTTTAGCGCAATTTAGTTATTCGATTTTTCATGTAACACCTTTGTTTTTTGTTTCTTGTTCGATGCATTCGAATTTTTTCCTAGATCTCATATCGCGGCATCAACAACCTGATTATGATGATCGCCACATATTTAAGAAGAAAGCTTATATTAAATGATAAAGAAGCGTTAGAAACTTTCCTTTCGTACGCCTAGTTGATGCACATAATTCTAAGTACGTAGACTTTCATATGGTATATATATGTATGTATGTATGTATATATATATAACATTGACATCATTAACTGCAAGATCTTATTTATCATGTATAGAACTCAAGGTTTATTCTGAAGAGGAATGAGCCAGTACTAGATGTAAGAAAAGTAAACAATGTAATTCCTGTAAAGACGAACAACCGGAGAAACAACAGCGACAAGATGGTTAGCACAAAACAAAAAAACTAGGCAACAATCCGATGTAAATAGAGCATATTTTCAATGTGTCTGGAAAAGTATGTTTTGTAATATAAGGATTGCAAAGGAAAAATAAAACTATTAATGAATCATTTCTCGTTTGTGAAACAAACGTTTTCCCTCACAAAGGCGCGCAATAGATTTTCGTGTCTTCCGGCATTGTATCTTGTGTGAACAGGGTATATGAAAGATTGTGGTACATGGAAGTAGCTTTGGTGTAGCGAATTTTAAAGTAAATTTAAAATAAATCCAAATGAATTTAAATTCTCTTGAAGATAATTATTATTGACATTAGATAGGAAGAAAGAGACTTGTTACACATACGAGCACACATACTATACATATATAATTAAAATACAAATGATAAATTAGCAAAATTATTTTTTAAACTCCCTTTAATGATAAAATATTAGTGTTTTTTTTAGGTTAATTATTTTTCTAAAAATATAACTTACAAAAATTAAAATTTATATTGCTTAACCCCAAAACTAAATTTTACAGTTCAAATATAACGACATTTGCAACGTATTTTTACTTTTTAGCATTCATTGAGTAATTGAACTTTAATTTTATTTACGTAAAAAGAATATTACATACACAACAAATCATACAATTTTTGTAACATTCACTTAAATACAACTGGTAATTGAAAAAAATTGTGCCTTATGCTATTGGCCGATTTTAAATGTTAAATTTAAGCTTCAAAAAGCGCGAATTCAAGTCTAACATTATACTAACAGTATAAATCCGTGATTTTATTCCATCTGACAAATGTTTATTCTATTCTAGTCTAACGAACAAATTTCATTAATATAAAGTATATTATAAGTATAATATGATTTCAGAAACGAGAAAACTTAATTATGTCGTGATTATTTTATTGTGCTGACAATTTCATTTGTTGAAATTTATAGCCGAATCCACATCATTGGCAAGTAGAAATGGCCACATATTTTCGCGCATGTGCTCTTTCAGTCTCTTTTTCACAATGCCTGTGTGAATCGTTAGAATAGGTCGAAGTCGGAAAGAATGAAATGTTAACATAATAGTCTCGATTCATGTGAATTTTAGAGGAGTTTTACATCATTAATTTGATATTTTATATATGATATATATAACCAATTGGAAAAGTATATTTTAATAATCATTTTCCTGAGCTCAAAGCTCGAACAGTGTCCTGCATCATGAAACAAATTTTTTGTGGTAAAATAGGGTAAGGTCGATGTATATGAAAAAAGATTTAAGTTTGACAAAACTCTGTAATGTGGGTTAAATTTCATAACGTACTTTCGTTATTTATATGCCAAGTTTCGCAACTTTTAGGTTATGTTTTAATATCTAATCATTTTCATAAAACTGTCAGAATTTCTGTTTCTTGAGTACTTCATCGTTAGTAATCTTTCTTTTTTCATTTTATTTTAATTTTTCTTGTATTTCTTGATTTGAAATACACATATGTTTGTACTTAAGCAAAAAATATTCAGTGTTTCTTTTTACAGAGACAGGATTGTTCTAGTTCCAAAGACAACACGATATCCTGTACCCATATTTAGTACAAGAAATTTAACATCAGGTAAAATGAACAAAGTTTATAGACCATTATTAGCAACACCAGATATACGTTATTTTGGAAATCCTAAACGTGGATATGCAATGTTTATTGGAAGAGTTTTAAGAGGGGTATTAAAGGTTCGATATCTTTTATTGGGTGGTGCAGTTGGTAGTGGAGTAACTTTACAGAAGGTGATTAAAACAGCAATAAAAATAAATGCTCTTTATATACACACACACACACAATATTCATAAAACTATTTTTCCTTAAAGAAATATGATCAATGGAAAGAAATTATGCCAGATATGAGCTGGTTAGATAATATATTTCCTAATGAAGAGAGATGGAAAAATATTCGTGAATCACTTATATCAGTTAAAGAAACATTATCAGATAAGATGGAGCTTGGTAAGTATCAGAATATGCAAAAAATATTTAGTATATGAAAACGTGAGGCAAAAAAATTAGAGACATGAAAAATGGACAAATACAAACAGATCCACGTATAAAGCAGTATGGGGATGCTAAATATAGGGAATACAAAGAATGGTTTAATCAGAGACTGGATGATGCTATCAGGGCAGCTGAAGTTAATGAAAATCAACCAGGTGTGGATATTTTCAGTAATCGTGAGTTGGCAGTGGTTGTTTTTTTTTATTCTCACATTGCATACAAGAAAGTCCTAACATTAATGCTACAAACATTTTCCTATATCCCATTAAGTTTTTAATTTGCCTGACGTTTTCTAGCCCAATTACTTTGCAATTACCTTTACATAATATACTTTTAGTGTCATTTATACCACAAATATATAAATGATACTTAAAATAGTTTAGAAATTAAATCTTATGTTTCAATAAATAAATTTTTAAATTCTTAATTATGTAAAAGCAAGAAAATAGTTTTGTCTGCAAATGAATGGAATTTCATATAATTTATTTTATAATATTTTGTTAATATGTTAGTTTGTAGCATAGAATCCTGTAATTCTTCCTCATTGCTATCAAAACACTCTTCACTATGTGCATATATTCATTTAGAAATATATTATTATGGTCTGTTCTGTTCAGGTATATTTGATGCAATCTCAACAATAGTATACCAACTTTATTCAGGTGTGTAAAATGCTCGGGATTATCTGCATATTATTGTC